CCGAAATGGGGTGTCAGAAACTGGCACTGCCTGAAACATATATCGGCAGCTGATGATGGGGGAGCAAGGTCATAATGTTGTTGCTTGTTCTGAGTTCCATGGTTGCACGGGCGTCGAACCCAAATCCTAGCGGTAGCATCGGCGGGGATTGCTTTGAGCAAGCCTGGTACTCCTGCATGTGTCTTGCGTACCGCGCCGGAAGCTGTCCGAGAGTGAGAGTTCAAACCAAATTCTGCCAGCATCCTCTTTCTTGTGAGAGCACTTCATCACCCAGTAGGCACACTTGGCTTGCTTCCAGCCTCAGGTTTCACATAGATGGTCTAGCCAAGCTGACCGAGCCAAGGCAGAATTACAATGTGCAACTGCAGTCTCGGTCCAACCAAACTGGCTTTTTAACCACGTTTTCACGTATAGCAACAGTGAATGCCAGAGACGTTTAGGTTCCCAATAAAGCGCGAGGAGCCGGACTGCCTGAAACATATATCGGCAGCGGATGATGGGGGAGTAAGGTCATAATGTTGTTGCTTGTTCTGAGTTCCATGGTTGCACGGGCGCCGAACCCAAATCCTAGAGGTAGCATCGGCGGGGATTGCTTTGGTATGCGCCGCATGCAAGCAGCAAGCCTGGTACTCCTGCATGTGTCTTGCGTACCGCGCCAGAAGCTGTCCGGGAGCGAGAGTTCAAACCAAAGTCTGCCAGCATCCTCTTTCTTGCGGGAGCACTTCACCACCCAGTAGGCACACTTGGCTTGCTTCCAGCCTCAGGTTTCACATAGATGGTCGAGCCAAGCTGACCGAGCCAAGGCAGAATTACAATGTGCAACTGCAGTCTCGGTCCAACCAAACTGGCTTTCTTAACCACGTTTTCACGTATAGCAACAGTGACTGCCAGAGACGTCTAGGTTCCCAATAAAGCGCGAGGAGCCGGACTGCCTGAAACATATATCGGCAGCGGATGATGGGGGAGCAAGTTCATAATGTTGTTGCTTGTTCTGAGTGCCATGGTTGCACGGGCGCCGAACCCAAATCCTAGAGGTAGCCTCGGCGGGGATTGCTTTGACATGCGCCGCATGCAACCAGCAAGCCTGGTACTCCTGCATGTGTCTTGCGCACCGCGCCGCTATGAATCAGTGTCTACACGGGGGCTTGTTTCTTCTCTCCTGTAACTGTTTCTAAAAAAGCATCTGGGGTTTGAGCGAGATGTGTGATGATGTGTGGTTTCACGATTTCGGTTAGTTGGCTAGCTGAGACGGATTGCCAGAAGCTGTCCGGGAGCGAGAGTTCAAACTAAAGTCTGCCAGCTTCCTCTTTCTTGTGGGAGCACTTCACCACCCAGTAGGCACACTTGGCTTGCTTCCAGCCTCAGGTTTCACATAGATGGTCTACCCAAGCTGACCGAGCCAAGGCAGAATTACAATGTGCAACTGCAGTCTCGGTCCAACCAAACTGGCTTTCTTAGCCGCGTTTTCACGTATAGCAACAGAGTCGGTCAGTGAGGCCGCAGGAGGAGCTGGCTTTCATCTCCTCTGGTACAGTTTGGCTGCGGCAGCGTTTCGGTCCGTCGCGTTATTCGCGACGTCAGGCAAGGGTTGTGCAGTCCCTGGGGCTGCTTTTGCATTGCAAACGGCATGTCCCAAGCAAAGCCTGGGCATGAGGAAAAGAAGCAATTCAGGAAGGCTCTCCCGCTAGTGTGGAAGCGCTCGGACTCGTGCCCTTTGATCTCTAAGTGCCTTAGCTCTTGACTACATGAGGCCCACGCACGTATCTCAAGGGAGCTCTCGTCCACTCCTCCTTTCTCACGTGTCGATTACGAAGAGGAACTAACGGTTTGAGGTGACAGATTGAGGCCAGCCGCAAAGCGCGCGATCCGTCCTGGTCGAGGGTTTCTGGGTGCAGCCTAGGGCCGGCTGTTGCCTGGAATCTAGAGCCGAAGCGCATTCAAGGTTGTGCATAGCCTAGCTGTGACTCCTTCGCCAAACAGACGCAAGGACTTGCTCCCGATCTCAGGCAGGGTGTGGCAAGGTAGAACCACGAAAGGCTCGTTAAGAAGATTTCGCGTCTAGGAAGCCGACATTCCTCCGCAGTGAGGTGCGAACCCTCTCCAGGAGCCCAACGGCTCTGAGCCCACAGGCGTACAGCACACCGGCACAACTTTTTGCAGCGACACCCAGTTGCTGCCTTCGTTGTGGCACAGAGCCGAAGCAGACTTTCTGCAAGGTCGCTGCTTCGAACTTTGTCTTGTTTCAGGTCCTGACGATTGACGGCGGCTTAACTGCCGTTCGAGCTTCCTCTACCCTCACATTGTGGCACCGTTTCTCCGAATGCGGGGGGCTGTTGCCCGGTCGTCAGATACGAGGGTCCTTCTTTTTCAGGACCTCACCGGGAGCAGGAAGTCTCTGCAGCAGCTGAGCAAAGCTGCCGCGCAATGTGGTGGCGGAGGAGAAGACAGCTTACTTCTTGAAGGCGAAGGCATGCGTCACAATTCCAAGATGCCCGGACTCAGGGATGCTGGAAATGTTGGGAGCAGGAGGGGCATCATCAACGACAATCCGATGAGGCAGATGGTATCTTTGGCATTTGCCGTTTCTGCAAGCCAGTCCTTTCGCCAAGTTCCTTGAAGTGCTCGAAGCTTCCGATCAACCGGCCGACATTGCAGCCGCTCTGCAATTGGCTGTTGTCCAGAAGCTGTATTTCAAGCACACCAGTGTTTGCACCCTGGTTCCTTGCTAGGCTTAGACACCAGACGCCTGGGATGCGTGAGCTGTGTTCGGCGGATTCAGTGCTGTCCTCGTCCGTGGCGCTGACGAGCGGATTTCCGGAAATCAGCATGTCGGGTGGGCCTCAGCGGCCCGTGGCTTCACAAACGGCAGAAGTCATAAAGATGGAAGCAGCACGGGCGGCCAAGTTGCTGACAGAAGGTAGGACTCAGAGGCCTTCCGAAGATTGCTTGCACCATTATTGGATCACGGGACGAATCTCCTTTGTTCATACCGTGATTTGGCGGGCAGCTGTGTGATATGCTATGGACTCAAGCAAAAAGCGCGGGGCACCACGGCTTGTCCGCAGGGTGAGCGCATGGGCTTCATGATGTTTGGCTACCAGAGAGCCCCTTCCTTGACCCCCTTGACGCAAAAGGGCATGCCTTCTGTTCGGAGAATTTCAAGGTCTAAACCGCTGTCAGAGGATGCGCCTCTGCTGCCAGGGACAGGGCTTCGGGCCCTCAACCATTTGAAGCCGGCATCTCTCGAGCCGGCGCATGAGGCTGACCCTGCATGCCTCATGAAACGACTCGACGGAGGAGCTTCGATCCCTAATGGCTTCAGCCTCGTTGTGAGGTTAGCTCATGGCAAGAGAGATGCGGAGCGTACTGAGTCTTAGGATTCCACTGAGCAAGGTTGAGGCCCTTGCCGACTAGTTCTTCGCAGGAGATGCAGGGAGCACTGCTGGGATGTAGCTGCCCTCGTTGCTTACATCCCACTATAGGGCGTTGTATACGTCCGGGGGGCTCACACAACGACCGTCGACGGCAGGAAAGCAGAGCAAAGAGAAAAAAAGGGGACGAGGGAAGCGCATCCGTTGCAATGAAGCTTTGATAGCTTTTGGCATTGCAATTGGGCTATGCTGGGTCTTATCCAATCTTGATCGCATCGTTAAGATCAGAAAGGGGTGGGTTGTAGCAGTCAAAGCCCGAAGATGCACATGAACGGCTTCTTGCAGCCTGACCGATGCTGAACTATGCTGCGGCTGATACGTGTGTGTCTGTCCGTTGGGCTGAGATAAGTCGTGCAGCGTAGATTTCAGCTTCATGTCTTTCATCATTAATTATAGAAGCATGTACGTAAAGTCTTGGATTTGGCAGGACGGCCGGCCATCTCATGAAGTGCGAGAACAAACAAGCATGTGTGGTCGGCATGAGTCGCTGTTTGCTAGCCGAAGCTCGCTCAAGACCCTCCATGCTCTTGTCAGCCATGCAAAGCTTTCTAGCCCGGCTATGTTACATGACGATCAGATCACGCAGAAATAGGACATATCCTGGTTCCTCGCCAGTCCTCTGCAGCTCGACGTGAAGTGACATTCAGCTGGTTCTTCACTGAAATTTAAACCTGGCTTACAAGCTCTACTAAAGCCTTCAAAGCCCTGATCCTCTAGGTGCATCTTGCAAATCCCAATTCTCGAAGACACATTTCGGCCATGTTCTGGCCGATCTGTGCGAAGAACCCCTCCGCAACATTGCCATGGCATTCTGACTCCAGGTCCTGGCCGGCTGGCTGTCGGTCGGCCCTCCGATGGGCGAGGCCACAGACCCGCTGCAGACCATTCTGCCATTCCATTCCGCTATCAGTCACTATCAGCCTCCTTTTCTCGTGTTTGCAATGAGTCTAGAGGGAGTCTTAGGGTCAGGAAGTCCAGGGTGCAGCCGGGCCCGGTGCCCGGAGCCGATCCAAAGCGCGAGGTGGCGTTCACGAAGCTCCTCTACAACGTCAAATCGGCTCCTGCCACTTGCACCAAACCCTTGCTCCAAGGGCGTGCTCACAGTATACTATACTTGCAGTCTTTCGATTATTTTGATTTTTTTTGTGCAGAAATACATTTCTACATCTCATCCCGGATGAAGTCTTAGTCTTAGGCTCTTCTTTTGACGCCATCTTTGCAGACGAGAGAGTTCCATCTTGGCGTTTTGTTGCGATTCCCAGAAGTGCAGGGTGCGCCCGTTGAAGCTCGGAATCGCTTAGATTCCCTCGTTGCTAATCTTCGTTTTCTTCCGTAAGTGCCTCTCATCTTTGCGTTTGGGAGACATCCAGATTTTGGCTGAAGTGCCCCGCAGTGTCCAAGCTCCTGCTCTCCGTCCCTCCAAGCTGTGGCTTCTGAGTGTTGTGAGAGCAGTCATGTCGGAAGAGATGTGCTTGTTCACCCGGAGTGTCGGAAACTGGTGAATTGCTTCAGGGTGGAGGTGCCCTACTACAACTATCCTTACATCGCGCTCCATCAAGGCGCGAAGTTTCATGATGCGACGTGTCAGACGCAAGTGGAGATCTTGCAAGGAGCTTTGCTAGGTTCGAAGATGAGCTGCACGAACGAGACGACAGGTAGCAAGTGGCTGTCTTGTACTTGCCAGACCTATCAACAATGCTACCGAGGTCTGCTGGAAGCCATCCAGGAGAAGCTGGTTCCAAGCCAGGTCTGCGGCATCACCCGGAAAGCTTGTGGCGAGCCCGTCGACTTTTCCCGGGCTTGTCGCAGACTTTTGGGCCGGCCAACCTTCCCAGCTTCAAGTTTGCCCACCCGCCCGCTGACCAAAGCCTGTCCGTGAAGTGCCAGCACTCCTGTGAAGGCTAAGCCGGCTAATCAGCCTGACATGCGGCATGGGGCACATGCAACAATGACATGCGGCGCCTAGCATGCCCTCAATTCAATGGGCCTTGCAGCCGGACGGGCGAGACCAGTTTGAGTTTTGACGTGGTGCCAAGGTGAGCCTCGTGCAAGCACCGCAGCCTGCGCCCCACCAACAAACGAGTATCAAGGAAGCTTGGTGGCTTGGTGTCTCTTAGCAGCCGCGTGTAAGCCAGCCTACAACTTGTAAAGCTAAGTCCGGTACGTGTTAGAGGAGGCGTTGTGGGCTGCGGGCCCTTTTGACTCTTTCTCATCCTGCCGGTTGCTCGCCGTGCTTGTTTATTTTGCGAGCGCAGCCTCACTGTAGAGAAGCCGTCCCTTGCGGACATGTCTTTGACCTGCTTGGGACCCGGTGACTATGGGATGTAGCGATGTAGCATACTCGTAGTGATGTTGTTGTGGGGCTTCCAGCATGTTTGTGGATTGCCGGGAGCAGGCATAGGACTGCCGGAGGGAAGCATCCGGGACTCATCCCTGGCCAAGGAGCGCTTCCATTACAGTATGCCATACACTATGTCACTATGCTGCAGTATACTATAGTGTGCTACAAACACAGATTTTAGTATGCATTCTCGCCCTTCTGGGAGGTGCTCCCTCTAACGAGGCACCCATTGATTTGCTACACAGCATGAGCTTCGATGCACGCTAACGGGTCAATTCCGAACGTTTCGATTCCGAAATTTACGCGGTTATGATAAAGACGGACATGATTTCGTGCCCGAGTAGTCCCAGGCATGTCCAGTAAGTTCACAAGTCCAAGGTTGGGTTCATGTTTTCCAGGTGGTTTGGGGCTCATATACGGCTCCTTTGTGCAGCTTAAACCCATCACGGTCCTAGCGTTTAGTCAATTTAAGTATATAGCATGCTCTATAGTACACTCTTTTCTGGCGCGGCAGTCTGAGACTCGAGGAAGTGCTCCTGTTCCATTGGCTTGTCTCCAGAATGTGGAGCTGGCCCGTAGCTCGTTCTGTTTTCGTGCGTGATCCACCCTTGATATGAACCTGACGTCACTGCAACTGGTGTGGGAACAGCGGAGGAAGTACCAGAGTGGGGGAATGAATGCCAGTTGAGGTTTGCCGGCGGATCCCCTAGCATCAGGACCAGACGGGTATTGCAATTGTTTCTGTTGAGCTAGCTAGCTGTTGTTTGGTAACCTTGTAACCTCAGGGCAGATGTGTTCAACGGATGCTGCTTTCCATCACAGGCAAACCCGTCAACGAGTCCTGAAGCCACGCTTTTGCTGTGTTCAGCTGGAGCACCGACTGGCCGATCTTTTTCTTCAGTTCTGGTCTGAACGGTGCGCAGCGGATTCTACGGACTTTGCAGTTCCTGGAGCGTATGAGTTGTTTCAGGCATGCGCTTGCTGGGCTTCCCAGAGTCCTAGGTCCTAGACATGAACCAGGCCTTAACGGGCTCAAGCTTCAACATCAGATGGATGCCCAGTCGGCCGTGCGGCCGCCTTGCCAGCCACTTGCTGGAGTGCGGCTTGACCTTCTTGAAATTAAGATTTCAACTCCGCAGGCCCTTGGAACCTGCTACTCGATACAATCGTGCTCTTTAAGTAGGTGTGTAAGTGAAGCGAAAGGCGCCTGCTTGTCCCAAAGGCCCCGCGAGTGCTCTGAGACGTCGTGCCAGCCTCCTGCTGGAAGAAAGAGCGTCTTGAAGCCCCTGGCCATTGGCCCCTGGCCAGAGCGTGTGACATCGCTTGAAGCTCATGTCGTGGCGTCGCCCAGCACCCATGAGTCAATGAGCCAGCCACTTGCTGGATTGTCAGAACTGAAAGAGCTGGAGGGTAAGGGCGCAGAGGTGTGCGTCACTTGTGATTTGTGTGACTTTGATCCTAGAGCGAGTCCAGACGTCCACACGTCCACACCACAAGTCCACACGTCCAGGCGCTCCCTGTTAGGGCGCCCAGAAGACTCTGTGCCGAGGTAGATATCGACCATGCCTATCCAAGAGCACCAGTCTGTAAGCAATACGTGGATATGTTTCGATCTCTCGCTGCCTGCGATGGCGCAGAGCTGCCTGCTGTCGGCAGGTGGAGGCTTTCCGCGCCCCGTCCGAGGCCGCTTCCTTTGCAGTTCTTGAGTGCCATGTCTCTAAGTCTAGCCTGCAAACAGAGCATGAAGGGGTCCAGAAGACCTCAGCATAGATGCGTTGCGAATCAAGACTTCGATTAAGCGCAGAGCTGTTCTTGCGTTCCGTGTGGCAGTTCGCAGCGGCAGTCGAAGCTCTCAGCGCATGCATGCATGCATGCTGCACTTTGTCATGTTACACCATGTCGTATCTATGTGCTGGGATTCCCCTACCTGACACCCCATACTTCGGACGAAGTTAATGCCCTGATGAAAGGGCGGTGTATGCTAGTCGTGAGTCATGTTAGGATTTCGGGGTGTTGGCTTTACTTGGGGTTGGGGGCTTACTTAGGTTTACGGCCTAAAGTGTGAGCGTGGGTTTAGAGGGATGCCCTGCCGTTGCAATTTCCACGGGCTCGACGAAGCTTCGGTGGCGAAGCGATGCAATGCGCGACCATTGCGGAACTTGAAATTCGGCGGCTTTTCGCGTGACAAGCCCAGGCTGGAATACGAGACGTTTTCACGTTTTCGGAAAGTTTGAGTCAATCATTTATATTTGCAACGATGCCGGGGTTGCATTTGAGCACGAGCTGGGGCCCACAATCCACTCGTTCGACTTTGCATCTTGGGATCGAGGCTCGTGGGTGATGACACGCAGGTAGGTAATCAAGTTTGTGAGAAAAGAAGGGGCGACAGAGAAGCGGTTCCATCGAAGAGTCTGCATAACCTTCCGTGGCAATGCTGATGAGCAGATGACATGAGGGGTATTGGTCTGATGGCCACCCATTTAGTCCCAGCATGTCTCAGCCGTGCGAGCCGCTGCGGCGAAAAAGGAAATGCCTGGAGGAAGGCGGGAGTGGGTAGATGTTGATGGTGGAATCGGCAGCATTGTTCTTATTCAGGGCTGCGCGGCTATGATTTGTCCAGATTTTAAACAAAATTGATATCGACGACCGTGTTTGAGATAAACTTCCGATAATATCGGAAATTGTCAGACTCCCAGACCACTCTGACAGCTCTGTCCCACTACCCCTGTCCGATAGACCGACTCCGTGTGTCTGTGTGTCCGTCTCTCTGTCTGTTTGTCTGTCCGTCGGTCTGTCTGCATGCCAACACACCATGCGGAAATCTTGAAACAACAGAAGACGCATCTCACATGTTGGAGCTGCCTCGAAAGCGACTGACCAAGCTGGGCGTGCCGCAATTTCTTCTGCTCAGGGGAGTCCAGACTTTGAAGATCTTTGCCGTTAGTCGTTTCGCTGTATGTTTCAGCAAGAGATGACCGCCCCAGTGCCGCATTTGCCTGGTTTTCATCTCTCTTCGGGTCTGGAGTTCTACAGGAGTCCTTCCGTGCGAGTGGTGTCTTACCCTTCGGCCCAGTCGGCCGTGGCCCACAGGGATCACAAGGATGAGAAGCAGGAATGGGACAATCTGCTCGCCGCCATCCAAGCACATCTAGCAAAGGGACATTCCAATCCTGACCCGTTGGTCCCAGACCTACAGTTGTCAAAGCGCTACGAACAAAGCCCGAAGCTACGCCAGTTGGTGAAGAAATCTGGTGGCATTTGCTCGCGGCTTAGTCCCCTGTTGTCGCGGCTTTGGTTTCGTGGAATGTTCAGAGAACACCAACTTGTGCCAAGCACTGCCGCCACTGCCAACTGATGTCAACTGAGGCAAAATCATAGCCACGGTGCAGTTCGCGTGGGCTTTCAATGAAGCGCGCACCTGGAAATTGACCCACTGCGATGTGGCACTGGTCTGTTTATGCACCTTTTTTGTTGTGCCCCAAAGCTGACACACCTCATGAGAGGAGCCATCGACAACGACAGCAAGCACAGGCTCGGAAATCAGGACACGGACGGCGACAGACAGGGGCATGCGCAGCACTAATGTTTCGGCCGCAGGGTCATACACGCAGCCTCACGTGATGTATTGTAGCGAAGATGCGGAGGACCCCCGAACGCTGGCCGGAATATGCTCTGTCTCAGGCCCTCTTTGAGATGCGTAGCAGCTGCTTGCTGTTTATGTGCTGGAGTCTCGTATGCAGCAATCTCAGGATGGATCTGACTGAGGCGTGTATGGCTGTGCATATTGTATAGTTTAGGAAAGTTGAGTAGCTAGCTATCCCGTGGATGTACTCCCTCGTTTCGTGCAGCTCGGCTTCAGTTGGCCAGAGGCAGCTCGGTCCAAAGTGGCCACACCATGCCTTGTTTTTTTTGGCCAGTCGAGTGCACATGAGATCATGCACCCGGTGGTGTTATCCATTGTGCAAGACTTCTTGCAGCGAAAAGAGCCGTGACCAGTTGCAGGCTCGCGATGTGTCAGTGATAAGCTGTGCCAGTCGTACCTGTTTCAGCTACATGTGTGCAGCGAAGAGCTGGTTTGGGTGAGGTTTGCCGATTCCACTGTGTTGCATTGCCCATGGTGCAGATGCTTTCCACCCTCAAGCTGTTCACAAGGGCCCCTCCAATCGCAATTCTGTGTTGAGTTCTGCCATGAGTTCGGCTTTAGATTCAAGGGCGGCGTCCTTTTAACGCGCCTGTCGTATGTGCTTTTGTGATTTGGGCTCCGATGAGCGCAGTGGGCAGAATACATCAGGATTCCAAAGTTTGTGTGAATTGTGGAAAGCCCCCGAACGCCTTATGTTGACCGGGCCGATGTGTCATAGCAGTGGGCCTGGCGTGCGAAACTAGCGCCTGTAGTTCCAAAAGCAGCTACAAGGTGCATGACTTAAGGCGTCCCGCATATGCAAAAGGCGTCCCGCGAGGGGCGTCACCTTGGTAAATACAATGTGTTCACATGTATTGGATCTTATCGTCTAAGTTACAATCGAGGCGTCTAGTTGCGGAATAGGTTCGTTCGGCTGGCTGGATTGTGCTTGCTTGAAGTACAACTTTAGTATTGGAAATGACTGGAAATGCATGGCTTCGGGCTTTTGACTGGTTTGTGCTTGCTTGTAGTACAACTTTAGTACTGGAAACGCGCCTCGCATCGCTCGCGCGCGTCCCCTTAGACAGCTGTGTTCCAACAACACGTGATGTGACTTAGCTCTGCCGCTGTATGGAGGGTTTTGCGGTGAACAATTTGGGTTGCTGTGAAGGGCGTCTACTTGGTCATTCAGACATGTTTGATGCCTCGACAAAGACACTTTTGCAGCGATTCCCTGCGCGATGCGTGCATTTCCCTGTCTTGGCACATGTTTCAAACATGATGTCGCAGACGCGTCACACTGGGGCTTCACTCTGCCTGGGGTGCCTTTCGCAGATTGACGCGTCACACTGGGGTGGGCTGTCTTTTGCGGGGGTGGGGTGACTTAAGGCGCCCACCTTCTAGCGAGCGTCTTGAGTATGATTCCGGAGTCTGCAAGTGGGCACTTCAATGCTGTGCCGCACGCAAGCTGCCTTGAATCGACGTGGAAGCCTAGGCAAGGTAAGGTTGAGGGTGTCGTGGCTTGCTTCATGGAACTGCGAATCGGCTGTTGTGTGCCTGCCCAGCCCACGTTTGGACAGGATGCGATACAATACACATGTCACTGTCGCTCATCCCGCCGCAGATTTGTCAGCGATCTTCGAGGCAGGTATACATGGACTTCTAAACAGTATTTGCCTTGAGCTAGCGGTCATCTTTTGGCGATGACGAGCGAGGACCGCTGTTTTTGGGTCGTGTTCAATCAATGTAGGCCAAGCTGAGGTTTGAGGGGACTAAGGCGGAGCAACTTTAGCATCACGTTGCAGTCATATTAAACATGCCAGCGTGATTGTTCAGGACCTCGAGCGATTGTGGCAGGAGCTGTTGATCCAGATCTGTGGGCTTCATCCGGATTTAAAAGCCAACCTGGAGTCGGAGCAAAGATTTGATTCACTGGCCAAGGAGAAGAAGAAGTAACAACAGAGTCATATAATATAGTTTTTGGAAAGTTCGTGTTTGACTTGACTGACATGTTTGATGGGTGTTCCCTCAATAGATATCTCAGCTCTTGAAAGGACCTTCAGCTGTCTGAGCTTTACGCAAGATGTCCAGCGTTGAGAAAGCGCATGGCATCCTGCGGCGGACTTCGCAAGCTGTGGGAGCACTGCCACTCCTTGTCTAGCTGCGATGCTGCTGCTGGGTTAGGCTGGCAGTGCATATTTCTTCAGGTACTCTCAGGTGCGATATTGAGTGGTTGTGGGTTTTCCATGCAGACAAAATTGGCATTTAAAAATGTGCTAGCCCACTATAATTTCTACTATGTGTTTTTGCGTCTGGGCTCCATGAATTCCGCTGCGACTTAGGCATGGGCGCAGCTCATAGCAGATCTGGTATCTTTGTCTATAAGTTGTAGCTCCAAGATTACAGATGCAAAGCTGGCTGCCATTCTGCGCAGCCGACTCGGCATGGCCGAGCGATTGAAGCAAAATCCAGATCTCAGCATCTGCATCAACCGTGAAGGAGGCCTCTGTCCGAGTCTCAGGGCCAGGTCCAGCGCACAAGGTTGACTTTCTCTCGTATTCGGCAGTCATTTCTCTGCCTGTCTGAGGCCGTCTGTGGAGGAAGGTTCACAAACAGTCCGAAAGCCAAGAAACCGCAGGGCATGCCATGCCCTGGCCACACTGCTGGTGGGCGACACATCCCATGGGCTGGACTTGGGCGGCGCATCCCTGGCATGAGTACACGGGGAACGCTGGGCAGCACAATGCTCAAGCCCAGGCAGAGCGAGGCAGGAAGCTAGATCTTTGAAGATCTAAACTGTAATAGTGGAAGTTTGTGCAGCAGCTGCTGCTCCTGCCACTGCTTTGCAATGTTTTGCAGCCCAGGCCACATTGCCAGGGAGATCTGGATCACAGCTGGAGATTTTTTTGAAAGCTTCTGTGAGGATTTGAGGTCTTGGTTTGCGGATGTTTGCGGGCCGGCTGCCAGTGCATCTCACTGCCACTCACTGCTGAACAAATTACACATGCGTCAGCAGCTGTTTTCGGGACTTTGTGGAGCATTGACAGCGGCATGCTCCTGGGAGATTGCGCAGGGTTATTCGCACAGAGCCTGGCAGGGGCTGAAATACATGTGCTGGTGTTTGAGGACGGCTTCCGAGACTTCCCAGCCGGTTCTGAACCAGTGGATATGAATGCCGTGGGCAACATCAACCGCACCTTGCAGGCCTTTGCAGCACAATCAGATTCAGCAGGTACTGGCAGGCTGCTTCGAAGCACTTTTCGGAGCTTGCATGTTTTGGGGCGTAGTTGCTACATGCAAGTTCAAGCCCGGCACTTTGCGGCTCATCTCTGCAAGAGTCACAGGGCACTCACAGAGAAGCATCTCGTAGAAGAGATTTTCCACAGCTCACAGAGCACGGATGGCACGGCCTGCAATGGTATTTTGGTGAGTCGCGCGATTCCAGCAGTTGCAGACAGAGCTTTTGGACTGCAATGCCGCACCTGGCCCGTCCACGCTGCTAGTGAATGTCTCAGAGGGATCTTTGCTGTACCGGCAGAGGATCTCCTGATTTTGAAGCGTGATTCGGCTTTTTACCCTGTTCGGCTGGGGTGTGGTACTACAGGATCATGCCATGGGTGAGACCTCCTGACCTCCTTCAACGAACAGGCGTCAAAGTTCCATGTGTAAGCCACCTTCAATCTGAGAACGCTCAAAGTGTCCCAGCACTCCTCTACATCCCAACGCTCCCGTCGACCACTCCATCCAACATCAGCAAGGAGGCAAGCAATCAACACAAAAAGAGAAGGAAATCAAGCAAGGGAGGAAGCAAGGAAGGAATGCCGGAAGGACAGAAGTAGCAAAACAGGCAGCATACAATGCAAACACGTAGGAATCAGGAAAATCTGTGTTGCCGCGATCGCCTCGCTGATTCGCTTCTTTTTCCATCAGCACTTAGACGACGACTCCATGCGATTCATCCTTCTGGTTGGATCCCGGAGGCTCTTGGTCGCCGGAGATTGGGAGGGTTGCGGCACCTGTCTCCTTTCCCTCCTGCAGTGCGACATGTACGTACATCCCTATCTGGAGTCTTTGTAGCCTCTACTCATTTCATACCGGCTGTCTCTTGACAGCTTGTAGAGCTGCTCTGGAACAATTCGTTGCCCTAAGCACCGCGAGTTCCAACTGATGTGAAGCTGTGGCTGGGCGCGTTCTGAGCCACTCGTTGGTGCAATTGAACAGTGCGCATGCCGCTGCCATCGTCGTCATTGTTGACTTTTTGGACCCTCGCAGACTCATTGCAACAGCAGCAATAGCCATGGTGTTCTAGGTGGCACTTTGGGAAAGTTCAAAATGTTTCCCTTATATTTCCTATAGAGGTACCTATTCATAAATTCTTATCAGGACCCCAAACTACAACCCAGTGTTTGACACTCTTGTTTTCATTGCGTGTTGACGGTGCCAAAGCGACGGGCGGGAGCGGGTTCGCAGTCTTCTTCATTAATGGTGTCGGCAGGAACAGATATCGCGGGACTTCGTCACAATCAGGATTGTCAACCTTGTCCGTGTGAGCTCCTTGATAATATGCTTCATTCAAAGCCGCTACGTTTTGCCTGCTTGATTTGATCCGGGACGAAGGCATGTACTCATGTTCCCTCCCACATTAGTTCCACCTATATGCGCCCCGGGGATATCCGATTCAAAAAGCACAAGATGCACAAAGCCGGAAACTACGAACCTCACCTACATCGGCCATCGCGCATGAGAAGTGAGGAAGGCACTTGAAGTCACGCTCTCCCTGTTGTACTCTCACAGCCTGCTGAGGTCATGCCGACGACGTTTTTCCCAACGGCCGGAAATGGAAGGAGCACAGTGCAAGAAGTGAGGCTACCAACACATCTATACTCTCCAGGTACTAGCCGTTTGAACTGTCCCTGAGAGTCATCAGCTTCCTTGTCAGAACTTTGTACACGTCCACACATCCACAAGCTCCCGGTTAGGGCGCCCAGAAGACTCTTTGCCGAGGTAGATATCGACCATGCCTATTTTCTTCAACAGTTAGTACTTGTAGTCGCTTTATCTCGTATCGCTCGGTTTTTACGCATCAATCGGGGTCCACATTGGGGAACTGCATTCCTTAGAGTGTATCTCCTGATGTGTCGAAGTCGGCCTCGTTGTTATGGGTCGGCGTCCCGATGGGGGAACTGTAGTCCCCAGAGTATATCCCAAAACCTGATACATCCAGCATCTTTTTTGGGGAACGCCATTCCCCATATTGAATCTCTCTCTTGAAAAGTCGAAGTCAGCCTCGTGGAGGCTTCTACATATTTTCAGGAGTTGCAAGTAAAATAAGAGATAATTATTGGGGGGCGGTCTCTGTTATTTTAATCGTCGTCACGATAATTCGACTAACCTCCCGACAGTTCAGATTTTATCGAACTAGGGCTTTTTCAATTAATAATTGATTTTCTCGCATTTCTTTTATGATGAGTGCTGGAAATATAATAAAAAATATTAGAAAGATGCGAGGCACACATTGGTGTCTATATTAAATACTATTAAATACCGGTAATTTGATCTATATGGATTACTTATTTAGATATATAATTGGGGTATAGATATTTGCTTTTATTATATAGTATTAATAATGGGAAGATGTTTATTTTTATATATTTATTTTCATTTTTTAAATATGAAATATAATTATTCTTTATTTTTAATTAATATTATTCTCGATATAGGATGGTTAAATATTTCTTTATTTTATTATATAATAAGTTACGCTTAGAATATTTAAATTATAAGTCTTATCTTAAAAAAATAGAGATTTTATTTTAATTTTATAATTTTTATTTTCGTCGATAGTATTATTACTCTAAAAGATGAAAAATAATAATAAAGGAGAAAATTTATTAATTTTGAATTATTTATTATTCTTCTCTTAATCTTATGTTTCTAGTAGTATCTATAAATATAATTTCATAACTATCTTGAATTTAGAAATCCGTAATATCGAAATCTTAAACAATGATAAACATTCTACAATCATTTCTTGTTTTTTTATTTAAGAAAAATCTTGAATCCTAACGCCCGAAATCTCAAGAATGAGTCGCAAATCCTAGAAATTCGGAACTCAAAAACTCTAAACCTCGGAATCTAGAAAACCACAATATCGAAGCCTTTAATCTACAATGAGCCACAAAAGCTCCAAAGCCTGTAATCTAGCAATTTAAACCTCTGAAACCAGATGTCCGCAACCCCAAAACCCTAGCTAGCGAAATGCGAGAGTTTATGAATCTCGTCGGTCCTTCGTGATGGGTCAGATATATATGGGATATATTAAATCTATACGCATTCTTGGGCCTGACTCATGCTGGGTACACGATATGTATTCCCACCATAAGCGAAAAACTACTCACCCAAACCCTGCTCCATACACAACTAGGATCTACTTGAGACGTCTCACAAATTACATACGCATTTATAAAACTACTGACTGCCTCATAAAAACTCTATTAGACTCCGCAGGCTACACTAACAGAAAACGAGCCGCAAAATTCAGAAACCTATAAGCCTGTAATCCAGAAATCCTAAACCCCTGAATCCAGAAGCCCGCAACCCCGAAACCCCAATCTCCGAAATCACGACAATCTGAACCCCCAAACCCTAAATCGTGAACCCAGAAGCCCTAAATCCCGAAACCGCGATAATGAGCCACAAAACCCCGAAATCCGCAAGCCTGCATCCCAACAACATAAAACCTTGAAATACTAACTAACCTCCGAAATTATGAGAGTGAGCCACCAAATCTAGAAATCCGTGATTTAGAAACCCTAAATAAATTATGGAGGTTCGTCGGTAAATTTTTGAAATAATTGATAGTACTATATTTATCGGTACGATATATATTTTGCAAGAAAAAGCGTATATTACGATATGCCGGCGGAATTTCTTGATAAAACAAGAAAAAACTACGCAAGAATTGGGATGGATTCGGTATAAAATGGGTGGCGAGGATTGCTTATAGATTTCTTTGATCTGATTTGGTGGTGTCTCTATTTTTTCATTCTTTTTTTTGAGTATTATTTTATTAGATTCTTTTACTCTAACCCGCGAATCCGCAAAAATGAGTCGCAAAATCCAGAAACTTCAAGTCCGTAGTCCAATAACCCTAAACTCCTGAATCTAGAAATCCACAATACCGAAGCTTTCAATCCATAATAAGCCCACAAAAGCCTGAAAGCCTGCAACCCAGAAATCCTAAGCCCCTGAACCCAGAAGCCCGCATTCCCGCCCAGAAACCCTTATATCTGAATACCCACAAACCCTACCATGAATACAGAAGCCTTAAATCTCGAAACCGCGATAATGAGCCCCAAATCCTGAAACCCGCAAGCCTACAACCCAGCAACATAAATCCCTAAACTCAGAAGCCCACAACCCCGAAACCTTAACTAACCCCCGAAACCACGAGAGCGAGCCACAAAGCCTAGAAACCCAGAAACCCGTGACCCAAAAACTTTAAATCTCAATCCACTCAACAACCTAATTTCTATACCCAAAACCTAGAACCCCTGAGGGAGCAAATATTAAAAGATATCCAATAAAATCCATAAGCCATATTTTTTAAAAGAATCCTAAGCGATAATTCTACAGACCTTATTTTATATAATCTTTCTTTTTAGATATATCCTAATAGAATATCCTACAATTTCCTATCGATTTGAAATAAGATTCTAAAATATCACGAAATTTTCAAGATATATTAGAACATAATCCTAATATATACTATATATATCGAAAAATTAAATATAGAAGCATCTTCATATTCTCATATTTTATAGAAATCTTTCTATATAATTTTTTCTTTTTAAATGTGAATCTATAATCCAATATAAATCAGATCCGAATCAAATTTATTTTATATAATAAATATGGAAAAAAATCATCATATATCTAAATCCAAATAAAATTTTCAGAAAATAAGATCCAATACGAATCAGATTCTAACCGAGACTAGACACGGACCCAGGCCCGAACCCGGACACGAGCCAGACACGAGATAGCACGAGCCGGCCACGAACCCGACACGAACCCAATACGAACCAGACACGATCCAGACCCAGACCAGACACGAACCGGACACGAACCCTAACACGAACCAGACACGAAACAGACACGAACGAACCGTGCACACACCGGACCCGAACCAGACACGAACCGGACATGAACCAGACACCTAGACGCGCGGGTGTTGAAACATGAGGATAGCAGGGTGCAGCGGCTATCAACCGCTACAACGCCGACCAAAAATCTCAGACCCGAACCAGACACGCACAAAACACATTGTGCGAAATACACTTTTTAAAATAAGAGGCCATATATCCGGATCCATATAATTACTTCGGGAAAATGAAACCAAGCCGAGTTTGACACGAGCCGGACCCGAACCCAGAAACGAACCCGAACATGGGCCAGACACGAACTCGGACACGAACCTGGACACACAGAACGAACCGGACCCGAAGCAGACACGAACCACGAATCGGACACTAACCCAGACACACGCCCAGACACGAACCCGGACCCGAGCCGGACACGAGCCGGACACCAACCCAGACCCGAACCGGACTGGATCGCCTTGCTCGGTCTACGTACTCCAAAAACTAGAGCCACGTCCCAAATGAAGCAGGCCCGCAAGACCCGACCAAAATATTCCGAATATTGTGGTCGACCCCCCGTGACGGAAATTTTCCGAACATTTAGAGCCCCAGCCATTTCCGTGGGGCCGCAAATAATTGGAACATTTAGAGCCCCAAGTTGGGCCTGCAAGAGGCCGCAGAAGGCGGAGCCGGAAAAGCTAGGCCGCGCGCAAGCCCCAAGGACGCAAGTGACCGCGGCGTTTTATAGGAGTATATAATCTCGGTGGTTCATATAATATTCGCTTTGTAGCAAGATTCTGATGATTCAATCAAAACACTACAAAATCTATCGGATGATCTTTCCTTTGAAAACCGAAGCCTTGCTTTGACGAATTCGCAGCCACACAGCCTGTGAGACAACACCCCAGGTTTTCCGGGTTTGGTACGCCTGCGCTCCATTCTGATCCGGTGCAGTTGCCGGTCAGGGGAATGCACAGTGCCATCCTACCTACTTTTTGTAGGAGCAGTGTGCATGCTCGTCTCTGCCTCTCTGCCTTTCATGTCTGACCGGGCGTTTCTTGGAATTTGAAAAGCCTTTAGCGTCGCACATTGCCCACAATAGGCAACGACCTTCAGATCCTTGTGTCAGAACCTACGAGATACCAACATGTAGTCACATGTCTGGATCGAAGTCTTTGCCACAAAATCTGTTCATTAGACTTGGTTGGAATTGTACATTACTGCCGAACCGGAGCACCAACACCAATAGCAGCCTTGCGAGGTTACGTAGCAGAAGATCACGCATCCAAGTGTCAAGACATCAGCTCCCAGCGGCATCGCCAAATCGTGCAAGGGTATCTGCAGGCCGGAGATTCCCTACCATCTCTTGGGTCTCACGAGGATGCGCGGTTGTGTTGCTTCACATCTCCTGACGCAGAGAACCGGTGAGTCTGTGTTTCGACTGATTGAACTGCAGTCCGGTCATTCACATGACTTCATCCACTTGTTCGTCACAAATGACGAATGATCATGCCAGGGATGCGCTGTGCACAACGAGCATTTTTCTCATCCGCCGTCAATTGACATTCGAGCTGCTAGCAGCAACCTCAAGGGATGCTTTTGTCCATACTACCGTTCGCCCATCGCACGTCCACAACCTAAGACTTCTTTATGTGCCCCGATGATTGAGAACTACTCCCAGAAATGCTGGAAGAGTAGCTTCGCAAGTGGCAGAGCTTTACTGTCGGGGGCTCGTCATCCGGCAACGAGGCGAGGTTCTCTGCTGCCCACGGATGCGTCAAGACAACGAAATCCGGGACATGCACGAGGCCCTGCGCATTACTGATGCACCCATCCCTACAAGCCACGAAGTCCCAACCCAAAGTCCTCGAATCCCACACCTTGGACTCCTTATCCGAATGGCCAGCCTGGGCTGCCTGCATCACTGCTGCGGAGGGTCACGATGCCTGCAGGCGCGAAGCTCGGCTCGCCCCTACCAGCCCTAGCACTGAGTGGCGTCGTCGAAGCGATGGCACCGTGCGCGTCACGTGCATCCTTGCCAGTGCTGTCGCGCACTTCGCGGAGAACCACTTGAGCCTGCTGGGCTACGCTCCGCGACCACGGTGCACTGCCAAGCTCAGTGTGAGATCGCAGCTTTATGCCTCCATGTGCCGTCTCGGGGATCGGCTGGCATCCTTGTCATCAATCTCTCCTTTTGGTATCCACGGATATGTTCTGCGCCAGAGCTGAACTTCTCCGCCACGGCAAAGCCCTCTCGAAGACTGTGCAAGCAGCACGAGGCCACTACACAGGCTCGAGCACCCCGCCCCTCTCTGTCCAAGCTTCTAGCCCTCCATCAAGGATAGTCCTTAGACTCTGACAGCTTGGCGGAGCAAGTGAGGATTCGGATGAGGTGAGCCTCTGCGAAACGCCAATGTAGTTTCTGCTCTGCAGGCACCAGATTTCTGGTGAGCTGCCGACAGGTTTGGGAAGAATTACAGTACTGTGCTACCGTTGTGACGTCTCAGGTGCAACAATCGCAACCAACGCTGAGCCAATATAAGTGACCCCAACTCAATCAAGCGACCCCAAAGGATCAACCACCATCTTAACTCCATGTCACACCTAGAAGGCGAGCTGCATTGCTGTAGGCCAGATGCGAAAGTAACCGGCAAGCAGCATCGCCGAATCCCAGGCTGATTTCAAGTCGTGCCGGCAGCCGTAAACGATCATGTTTCCGGAGCGTGCCTATGCTGGGCCAGTCTTTTTGGGAACTTCCTCGACTAGAAAAGGCACATTTCCCCCACCTCTTGTGGATGAAGAAGAAGTCATGCAATTTTACTCCTACACCGGACTACGGAGTATAGTACTGCACTAGTCTCCATTCACTCCAAGTGGCATTTAAGCTCTCGCAAAGAAGCAACCTCCAGGGATGCTTTCGTACCGTACTACAGCTCGCCTATCGCACATCTGCAACCTACGACTGGCGTTGGGAACTGATTCCAGAAATCCTGCCAGAGTGGCTTCACAAGGGGCATAGTTAAACAGAATCAAGTACAGCTGTGGTTCGGGCTCAACGATTGGGGCTTATGGGTAAGGGGCTGTCGGGGCCGACCGGGGTTGTGGACGCTGCGACCAGGTGACAGCTCGTCATCCGGCAACGAGGCGAGGTTCTCTGTTGCCCGCGGATGCGGCAAGACAACGGAATCCGGGACATGCACGAGGCCTTGCGCGTCAGGAAAAAAGTCTGCAGGACCCAACCCTACAAGCCACGAAGCCCCAACCCAAAGTCCTCGAATCTCACACCTTCGACTCCTTATCCAAATGGCCAGCCTGGGGTGCCCGCATCACTGCGGATGTTCACAAAGACGTGCTCACCTTCAGCGTGCAGACCTGAGTTGACCCAGACTCGCAATGAATAAAAAGCCCAGGACGCCGAGGTGCTCAACGAGCAGAGGGGTTAAGGGATGGCTTTCGCTTTGGTTGAAGTGTCGGGACCTTGGAGTTCCTTGCATGGAGCTCAAGTCGGGGCACGAATCGCGTCGCCTGCAGACACGAAGCTCGGCTCGCCCCTAGCACTCAGTGGCGACGTCGAAGCGATGGAACCGCGTGCGTCACGTGCATCCTTACCCGTGGTGTCGCGAACTTCTTGGAGAACCATTTGAGCCTGCAGGGCCATGCTCGGCGACTTTGCTGAAACCAAGCTGCGCTGCCAAGCTCAGTGTGAGATTACAGCTGTATGCCAGTTTCGCAATGCCTCTTCAGCCACGCATGTGACCTACCGCTAGCGTGCATGGCCGACCTCGTAGAGCCTATGCTGCAAGGGCCCGAATAGCCATATTGGCATGCGCCCGGCAATCCATCCTGACTTGCTGGCGGCTGTCGGGCTGTAGAAGTTGCAGCACACCGACGGGACAATAGAGGTAACATGAGCTTGACGCCCATACCTGCGATAATATTCACACCATGAGCTCCGATAGATCGAAGGCCAGCCGAGATCTGAATCCCAGACCTTACATGGCTTCGAGGCCTCGATGACTGGGAAAGTCCCCAGGGAAACGATGGAGCCGCCGAAGGCCCGTTCTTGTGGAGTGGCCAAAGCCGCTTGCAGGAAGCGGGTCCCGTCGATTTCCATGTCATAGCCGAAGTGGGTATGTCCGAAAACATGAACATGAGGCTTCAGTCTTGCCACACGATCTTGAAGGTACGAAGAGCCCACAGCTTTGGAGAGGCAGGCGGGTATCAAGTATCTCTTCTCTGGGACAAGCCTGAGCGTCACTTCAGGGAACATGTCCAGCTAAAGTGCCGATATCGCTACACGAAGTACAAGATCCAATCACACAACTAACATGCACGCACGGATAGACACTGAGACGATAAGGCAGCTATTGTCTGCCTGTATATGCATACACAGAAATGGGTGAGGAAACGCACACACACACACACACCACCACTCTAGAGAGACCTCGCAACAGCTCGACCGAAACAGCTGTTTCTGCACATGGCCACTGCATGAAAAACTTGCAGCGCGTCTCAGTTTGCCACATACGCGCAGCCGGAACTTCGACTCAGGCTCCAGCTCCAATCGCGGCACGAAATGTGAAAATGAGATGACGGCGTCAAACTCTTCTTTCCGGGCCAGTGCTTCCGCATAACCTCCAAGGGTTCGGATTCGGGACCCCAGAATCCCCTGTCACTCCCAAACCCTGGCCACCTGCGGCTTTGTCGTTCCACTCGTCCATTGCCCGAGCAACGGAGCCGTCCTCCATTTGCAAAGGCCGTGGCCATTTCGTAGCCCAGTAGTCCTCCAGTCATGCCATGCTTGTGTTCCCATCCTCTCCAGCGTCTAGTTCCCGTTTTTCCGAGCGTCTGCAACTGTCTTTCCAGCTGTTGGCACGTTGGACCACTCCAGCAGCTCGGGCTCGGTATCCCACTGAGGGTGGTGCCAAGATAGCAAAGGCACCACGAGGACCCGTTTTAGTTTTCGTCCTCCACACACGTTGGACATACACGCACACAAGCTCACGACAAGAAGCACTTGTGCACATTAGTAGGTGACAGTTGTGTTGTGGTCTCAATTTGCCATCCAAGCACCTGTATCCACAATCCCCGGCGAGGTTTCCTGGCTGCGCACTGTGCGGTCTCAAAGGGGGGGAGATCGCGGCTTGCGGAGAATTAGGCGGGGTGACTCAACTAAGGCTCTATAAGGCCTTACTAGTAGATCAAACAACTCTTATCGCTAGTCGCTTCCAAGCAGTTTTGAAACGCGCCACCATACCCGCCCCTCTTCAGCAACAACCGAACAGTCTCCGGTCTAAACACCCTTCGTAAGGGCCGCAATTTAAGACAATTTACACTCCATCACCCTAGTGTAAGACTGAACATGATCCCTAAAGCACCTTTTATTCCCTCATGTATTTACCATGACGACGACAGTGATAGCAACCCGGAGGCTCAAATCTGCTGACCCTGCATGCTTGGGGAGAGCAAAGAGCACTTGGAGCGGGCTGCTTCAGCCAAGCCACCACATCGTGCAATTTGCAGACATCTATAATCGCGTTTAGCTTGTCCATGGAATCGCCATTCTTCCAGCCCTGCATCCAAAGGTCATGATTGCCTCATCTGCGACACGAATGGCAACAACACTGCAACTCGCAGTCGCAAGGCAAAATCTGATGCTGCCGAGCTGCCGGGACAGAAGAAAACGCGCCCAAACCTCTCCCGCAGAAGAAGCACAGAATGCTTCAATGCTTCGAAGGTGTTCGCAACGTCGCCCGCCAAAATCAAGACATCACTGCGAAACCTTGGGTTTCGAACTTGTTACACGAAGTTCCGGGTTGCCACACGTAGAGACAAGGATGGGACCTCACTTTCAAAAACCAGCACCTTTAAAAGTGTAACTTGCCATATCGTGTCCAGCTGCTCGGCTGGCGACAATCCCTCTATCCATTTCATGTTTTCCGCCTTGTCCGTGTGTATGTCTGACAGCGCCCATATCCGCACCTCGCCTTCGACTTCTGCCAGCTGTGATGTCTTCACATCTTTAGCAAGAACTGCCAGCTTCTTGTCTTTCCTGTGCTTTGGGCCGGTAGCTCTTTCACCATACACAGTACACCGTACCATGCCAAAAACACCAAAAGGTTCTCGAACTTCGCAAGTGGCAGCTTCGTGCTGATCCAGCCCTTCTTGGGGCCGTGGCCTCGGTACACCGCTCCAACTAGCAGCTCTGATAGTGGTAAGGCTTCGGTACGGATAGTGTGCTCTTAATTATGAACTTACACACTTAGTAAGATTGACCTGAACATTGATCGTAACCATTTGCTTAAACGGACCTGTCAGCTTCTCGTAGCACAGCCGATCTCCAACAAGCTCCAGCTCCAGTATGAGTGCGCCACAGGACAAGCGATCCTTAGCGACTTTGCGGGAGGCAGGGAGAAGGTCGAACCGCACAACTGGGCAGCTTACCGCAAGAACTTTGAGGGCGGCTCTGCGAGTTGTTCCGAGGCGAGGCTGCGCCCACTTCGCACGAGAACACCCCCCGTGTCAGCTCCCCCCAATACTTGCCATCGCTCGCCTCGCATCCGTTCGACCCGGAAATCCCTGACTGCACAACAGCCTTGAGCCAGAATGTCTGTGACAACATTCTCGGGAACCCTTGAAGTGGAAGACTGACAGTGGAACAATGCTATCGATGCTGTCACCACCATGACCAGTGCAAGCACCTAACCTTTACCGTGGCCATCAGTGTTCACCGGAATCCACACCAGCACCATCATCTCATGATCTTCACCCGAATCCCTGTCGTGACAATCGTCCTCATACAGCTGGTTTTTTCGGTATGGGCCGTGAGCAGAACGCGCCCCGAAACCCCAAGCAACAGCCACAGCAGCTAACGCCTCAATCTTAAACACTCAAGCGGCAGTCTGTATTCTTTGCCCAACTGAGAAAAATCGCAATCGCCGTTTATCACGGACCTACCTTTGCAGGCAGTAAGGCAGGCAAGCATGCCACCTGAGTCCTGAGTAGTGTACAAGTGGAGGGCTCGAGAAGCTATGCCTCGGAGCACAGCCAAGGAAGCTTCCGTTTGCTCGTCTTGTGTTATGGTGGCAGGCGGTCCGTAGCCTTGTGCTTTTACAACTTCAAAAGGGCTTGAGACAAGCCAAGCCGCTCCACAAAGAACGGCACTCTCGTAGGTGGGGACCATGTACTTGATGTTGATGAAGGCATCTTCACCTTGGAATCGAAATATCAATCAGCACGATGCAAGCAGCAAGTACTCCTTGTGTTTACCCCAGCCTGAAGTCCAAACCCGTAGCGACTACACACGGATGCGTCTTTTCAGCTATCCAGTCGGCCTCCATGCTCCTCCAAGATCTGAAGGGTTTCCTCGGTTGTGGGAGGACTCCGGGCGACTTCTGGTGTTCTTGCATTCTTGCAGCATACCGGAAGAGTCTAGCCTGCCTGCCATGGCGCACTCGTCACCCATTGGTCATGCGACAAGCCGTATCTGCAGATTTGAAAAATGCATTCCAAGCCCTGCATTGCACGTCTGCTTCAGAACTTAGGCGATAAGAGTCCCAACTGCTCTAGTCCGGTATCCACTATGCGTGCTGGTCTCGAAGCTCGACTTATATAGGCCCTATACTGTCCCTCGTCTCTGCGAAACCTACCTGCAGCTTCAGCCAAGGTTCTGAGATCAGATCTCCTAGGTTCAGATTCTTGCGCTGGCTGTAGTCCATGTAGTCTCCCATGTCCTGGCGGACACGCTACCGCAGCAAGCCGAGCAGGCAGCCATTTACCGTGAATGGCCCATGTTGGCTAGAGGAGCCAGCTATCAGCCATGTCGACCTGTAGACGACCAGTCTGTTCCCTGCTCCTTCGTCGGAATGTTCTTGCCTTTGAAGAGACAGAACACAGGCCTTGGAAAGCTAGCAAGGTCCATCTTCCCGCTCGACTAGCACTGAATGAGCTGGGATGCAGCAGCTGCCGGTAGTAGGGCACCAATGCCTCCCGATCGCTACCGAACACTTCGAAGATCTCTGCAAGTACATACGGCCGGCTGGTGTGCCTCGCCAATCATGTCCTTATGATCTGGGGCTTGCACATGCCAGGACAAAAGCAAACTGCTGTGAGACATGTTCTCAGACTGCAAGGCAGACCGGCTCAGCCAAGCATCGCCACTCAGAACCAGCTTCTGCATAAGCTTCATGGTTGTGCACATGATTTGGGGGTCACCTCGGCACACGTGCTTGAACATGTAACCTTAAAGCCAGCAAAGACGAGCCACTCACGTCGTAAAAAAACAAAGATTCAACAGGCACAGAGCAAACATGAGAGACATACAACTCACAGGGTTGAGGTCTGTGCGTGTATTCAGCGCACTTTTGAGAGGGATGACGAGCTGAGGCACCACCTGAGCTTGTCAGGAATTTCAAAAAACCAAACCAAATCTGACTGCTTCTTCGGAAGCTCCCCCCTGCATACTCTGAGCCACCCTGCCGGAAGGATACGATCACCCCCCTGCCAGGTGCATCAAAAGCATTCCGATTCGAAGGCGAGGCCTCCGCAGCCTGAGCCCTAGGCCTGGATCCGTAACATTCGAACACTCAGCTTTATCCTGAATATCCCAGCCACAAGTAAACGGCATGATTGAGCAAATCGTAATTTGCACCCTAGGGCCCTAGGCCTGATGTGATCAAGTTTCAGACATGCTTATGACATCGCCTTTCTCCCTACAGCCCAGAAGTTCGGAGGCAGGCCTTCTCCAGCATGTCATAAGCTCCAGTGACGGCCATGAACCTCAAAAACGACTATACAAGGAGATACGCTGCACATCAATGTTCGGCTCAAGATGGATCCCGAACATGCGGCCTGATTTATGCGCGTGATCAGCTCATCTGTATCATATGGTGGGCACGAGAGAGATTCCTACGTCTGTGTCGCTCCCTCATGCTTGCTGGCTTGTTTGCTCAAACCGGCTGGGACTCTGTGGGATTTCACGATTGAAAAGGACGTCGTCAGCGAATGCACAAAGTCTTGAAACCAAGGGTGGGCGTTTCCCCGATCGCGTCGCAAAATACTGCAGAGCATCCCCGTCGGGAACGCTCACTCTCTCATTCTTTCCCTTCCAAGAGCCTCTCTGCTGTCTCGTCTTGCTGTTGTTCTTCCTCTTCCCTGGGCGTGAGTCTGGTGTTGACCAGGCCCGCACGCTGGGCCTCCCCTTCCATCTGTTCTCAGAGTGAAGTTTGGGACTGTTGAAGTCATGTTTCAGGGTGTTTGAGAGAGGGTCATTCTACTTGGTTCGAAGTCGTTCTGGGTGGATGCTCGGCATCGCTGCAAGATGCAAACAGCTCGAGACCTAAGCATGGCGATGATACAGTCAAATGGCAGCCCCATGTGTGATGCACTCTGTCCCTCGCTCTCTGGTGTTCTCTTGCTTGCGAGGTGTTTGGGAAGTTAGGCTTGACCGCTATGCCGCTGGGCCCAACGTCCTCGGTTCGGGGTTGGCGTGAAACGCGGCAGAGGGGCAGTCCCCAGCCTGGGCTCGTCGATCGGACCCCTTGGAGCGAGGTCTCCGCACTGCAGGTTGCAAACTCAGGGATCGCCCCTGAGTTTCACGGCCCCGGGCCGTCTTCCGCGTGGTCCACGGCATTG